TCACATGAACTGAGTCTTGGGATAATTTATCGATACGATTCATTACGAATCATATAAGTCAATCTGTTTTAAGACTGACATCAATATTAAGGGTAAATACTTTATCAATATAAGTGAAAATACGTTTAAGATGTACATTGTTTTTCTCGACCTGAGTAAACTTTGAAGGATTTAACTGACTAGTAATACCTTGATATCGATTTCTATATAGTAAGAAAAATTAACCTAACTCCCCTAACCACGAATATAGAATAGAATGATAACCATTATCCTTATTTCCTTACAAATATATATATCATAATTCGTGGGGATTTGATTGACACTCTCAATTCAACCTTAATTTATTATGCTTTATTTTTCGGACAAATCGACGGTCGTAGTCAGCTGTACATGATATCATGTAACTGGAACGATTTCATATGTTATTTCAGAAATTACCATTACTATGGGCTTATGAAAAGAATTTTAAGTAATGTCTGATTTTTAGAAGTCTACTGTTTCTTTAGAATATAAATGTTAATATATTCATCAGCTTACCATACATTATTCATTAGCTGTTTGTTTACCACATAGAATAAATGGTTATATGACTGGCATCAATAAAGTGTATATTTAGTGATTAAACTCAGCAAATTATAACCAGTTCAGCAATTAAATTGATATTACAACACAACTGAATGTATTTTATGTAAATCCAACAATCAGTTAGTTTATAATTCACATAAAGTTGAATTGATTCTAACCACTGTTTGATTTAAAATATGTGTCCCAGTTTTTATCCAAATTTGGTTAAAAATTGAAAACAGTTATTGGCTTTAAGATTATGTCAGAAAATAAGTTTGGTCAATAAATTCTTTTACTCTGTTCAAATGGAAATTTAGTGGTTAGCTGAAGAAGTGACCTTGAATGGTTGAAGCTCACTATAGTATGCAAAACCATTTCTCCATAATAAGAAATTTTTTCAGTGAATCTACTTATAAATTCTATAAACTAACAATCGTCTATTGGTGGTTTTTTTCACCACTTATAGTATTCATTTAATTGCTGATAACGTTCTTCGAAGTTCTCTTTGTGATAAATAAATTAAGACACTCGTCAAACAGTCAGTCATTTTCATTTTTGTCTTTATAGTAGTAGTTAATTTTAACAATCGCTTTCCTTGATTTATGTTAATTTCCATTAAACTAGAGTTCCAGTATGAATAATGAAGAATCTTCATTCTTACATAACAACATCAATAATCTTTTTTAATTCTAAAGTTTGATGGAGATTTATCATGATTTTCACCAAAAGCTGACATAATGAGAAAAATTAGTGAAAACCAGAGAGTAGTAGGCAATTTGTTTTTTCTAGTGTAAGACTTCTTAACGCTATCCATTTACAAACAAAGATATTTAGATTATATGAGTGGTCACTAAGTTGGATTACTAATTTTGAAATTATACATTACGATTTTCATTTAATACCATTAGTGAGTTACTGTCTTACTTCCGAAATATAACTGACTCAGATTAGTTTTATATTCAGTAATGTTGCATCCTGAGATGTCGCTATACTAGATTTTTTAATTTCCTTTATACCTCTGGGATTATACCATTGAAATTGCTTTTTTTTCTCATATCTGTAGTTTGCATCATTTGATGAAGATTCTTATTTATGGATACTTCTACTGTCTTTTGAATATATTTCAGTATACACGCGAAAGTGATCATGCATATTTTTGAAAAATGTTTCTCTGTGTACCTTTCCTTAACAACACAATACAATAATTGAGTCAGGTGAATACAGTATTCCAAACTACTCAATAAAACATAACCTTAACCTTACTTTACGGTTTTTCGTTATTGCTATTACCAATCCTTATCTAGTTCATGTATACTTAGTGACGACAAATGTTAAACATTATCGAGTTTTTGTAATAACTGAAGTTTAAAATCAAAGGCAACTCAAAATACATTTTCTAGCAATAAAAACTTTAACAGAGTTTTGGTCTATGAATTGCTTTACCGTGAGTAAAAATATTCATTCAGGATCAAACCAATAAAAAAATTCTAGCCTGTCATCATTAAACAAGATATTCTACACTTAACCAATAATTCGTTTTCTGGTACATTGATTACTATAATGCGTAGGGTCACATTTACATTAATTTCATTTCTCGTCTTAAGTATACACTTGAAATAATGATTGCGTAATCAGCACCAATGATATTTTCCACTATTTCTCACTTGGCGATGCTTTTTATAAACCAGCTAGACCTACTATATTATCCCTCTAAACGATAACGTTAAGTTAATACTTACATAAAATAGATAGAACATAAGTAACAGTAAAATCTATGACCTATTTGGGACTCATTAGATGGATACACCTACATCCCACACATTTATTTTATACAAACTTGTTTCATAATGACTATATCAAGAAAATCTTCACTGGTTATACAAATTTCGACCAAAACAGATAAATTTTCAGTTAGCAATGGAGCAAGCCAAATCATTATAAATTAAGTTGAATTAATACTATTTAATAAGTTGGGAAAATGAAATTGAGATAATCAATATATATTGGTTTGAATTATTTTTTATGGTTAGTGTATTTTTAGCGAGTTAATGTTCTACGGAATGGGGTCGCTAACCCCATACCCAACCCTCCTCTTTTATCTAGGCTTTGGACCGGCATTAGCCCGATGGGGAATGAAAGTGGAGTTAATAAGAATATATTACCATCATCAATTTACCTGTATTTACATAGATAAGCCTAATGAATAATTTCTAATTAGATAACACAGAAATTGACCAAAAGTGTAAACATTTTATTTTTGTAATCCAAACTACTACTGGTCAACAATTTTATTGATTGGGAATGAACAAATTTTTTAATCTTTTTTGTAATTTCTTGATGAATAAAAACAAAATCCAACACGTTTTATTTGTCCATTTTTTTTACATTTTTAAAGCAGTTTTAATCACATTTTCAATGATAAAATAAACATACCACTAATTTAGATTTAAATAGATAACTACAAAATATCACAGAAAAATCAATCCCATTATTAGACCATATAACAGTAATTACAATCCCATATTACAAATAAAAAAAATTAAAAAAAATAAACTTAAACGTTTTATATTCATAAGGGGAAAGTAGATTATCTAAAGTGAATTGACCTTTAATGTATAAGTACATCTAGGCAATGTAGACGCATGTATAAATCGGCATAGTGCTTTAAATGGAAACACTTTTTTTTTTAAGAAATGAAGGAAAGGTATATCTTTTTAAGTCACAAATGAAAATAATTTCAATCTATAAGTGGAGATTATATATTTATGTGTAAGTGTACATATGTAATATGTTTTAGCCTGCATGGCATAGATATTATTGATCTCCCTATTAATTTATAAGATTACTGTTAAATCATGATAATAACTAGAAAAAACATAATTTACTAACTGATTAACACTGACATTATGGGATCGAAATTAATTTTAAAAATCTGTTCGTTCTGTTCTATGACGTAATGTGATATGAAAGTAATTTTCAATACATATTGACGTCACATTAAAACTAATTAGCAACCAGAATATATTGATTTATCCCAATTTGTGACTTTCACAGACTACTGACTCTCCTACACAAAATCATGATATGATATCCAAAACTCATGAAGTTTATAACTCTGATGAGTATGTATTTATCAATTATTTTGGTTGACTAAAAAGTTAACCTGAGTATCATTCAGAATTATCGGGGACTTAACCGCTTTACAATCAATTTGCTTGTTTTTACAGAGTTACAGATCCGTACTATATCGTTGCAATAGGTTCATCTCAAAGCTAGTTGTCCTTATAGTTATTTCTAGTGGTCTAGTCTAGGTGATTTGACATTACGTGCACTATGTTGAGAAAAGATGGTGGTTGGAGGTAGTCGACAGGAAACTCTGGACCCGAGTTTCGTGCTACTTGGCACTCGTCAACAAGGTGTACCTGTAATTTTGAGGAAACTAGTGCTCCCTGATTGATTTGATCCCGTGTCACCCAGCTTCACAGTCAGAGAAGTTGCCATTGAGCTATCCGGGCCGCGACCGACCTCCTGTAGGACTGAGATATATTCATAATTGATTGATCACTGGGCGGTGATCAATGTCATGTGTCAAGTCTTTGTTAGTGTAGATCGAATGCTATCGACCAAGTTTCAATGTGTCCACTAGTCCAGTTGACGTGACATTGCGTGCACTATGTTGAGATAAGATGGTGCTTGGAGGTAATCAACAAAAAACCCTGGAACATAGTGCACGCAATGTCGAGTCACCTAGACTAGTGGCCACATTGTAACTTGGTCAGTAGCATTCGATCTGCACTAAGAAGGACTTGACACACGTGACATTGATCACCACTCAGTGATCAATTAATTGTGAAGATTTCGTAATGATATCGTGCTTTACACAATATCAAACTCTCCAAAAATCCCTTGACGGCAAAAAATAAATACAAGGACAGTTTAGAAGGACAACAAATCAGGTTATCGGATATATAGAACTTGGAGGGAGATCGCAAGTGAACAAAACCATCCAGTTGTGACTAAAATCATGATATTTCAGCTGATTAATAACTAACATAAAAATAATTGCTTGGCTAGAAAATACTTGCGCCTAATGTGTTTTTTTTATAACTAGATGCACATAGAGAATTATACTAAATATTCAGCTATTAATGCTTAGAATGCTCAGTTAAAACAAATATTCTTGTCTAGTGAGAATATAATTATATATGAAAACTAGTCAGATCTAGTGATTTTATTTATAAGTATTTATTACACAATTGTTTAAATGTCCAGTCCCTTCAACGGATCAGATTAACTTTTTCGAGAATACCTAATTAAGCATATTCAAAATGCAAGACTAACTGTAGTTTAATAAACATATGTAACTAGATGAATAAATTTTCATAAAATGAACTTTTCTATCATATATTTATCAAGTGATTACTATTACTTTCTAGGTATATCCTTGGTCTCCAGCTTTTGGTTGGCTTGAGATTGGAGACGAAATTCTAGAAATTGAAGGTCATTTAGGTACCGAATTAACAGAACAAGAATCTTATTCACTTACTGAATTGAAAAGTAATTATCTACGTCTTGGAATTCGACGGTAAGTTAAGAGAAAACTTATTATATTCCATTGAATAGATTTAATATAACCTGTACATTTTAGCAAGTATCATGAGGAAATAATAGATGAATCTAATTAATAATTTAACAAAAGAACTCGGTGATAAAAAAACGTTTCATCGATATTTTTTCATATTTTTCAGGTTTTAGAAAAATCCAACGTTATATAAGTAATCACTGAAAATCCCAGTAAATCGGAAATTTGTTTAATTCTCGTTTGAGATTCTACTGCTTAACATAGAGCTTTTGCTTTGTTCCGTTCAAAAACCATAGACACGTAGACAAAAATTTAATAAACTAGAAAAAACGCTGTGGATCGTGCCAGTTCCTGTTGTCTAAAATGCTTAAAACTTCATAACTATTAGGTTGACATAGACTGTGAGCGATTATGGTTGTTTCATGTAACGACATATCAAGAAAGGTAATGGTACTAAATACAGATAGGACCTAAACTACTGATACATTTAATATAAAAAATGCTGCGCTCTACTATAAATTCCCACAGAGAATGATATACTCCGCCATTAAGATATCCACAGAGATGGCAAGTAGAAAAATATGTCCATTGTCTTAATCCATAAACATTTGACATTCACACCTTCCTGTATAATTCAAAAAGAGAATTATTTGAAATGAGAAAGGTTCATTGATCCTTAATCTGAAGCTCATTGGTCTTAATCCATAGGCCTAAACAGTACAATTACTTGGTACAACCAACAAGGTGAGTTAGTTGATCTGAGTAAAAATTTAGTGTAAAATGTAGGTCAAATGAATTATTCTAGAGAAAAAAATTAATGTATTGTTGAAATGGCCTAATTGTTTTCAAATGATATAAATAATCTTCAACACTCAATTGGTAAGATGAACTATTTTTGCCTACATTCCATTATAATATAGTTAATCCCTATAATGGACATTTAAGAAATGAATTAGTTTTCTAACCATCAGATAATTAATGAGTTAGAACTTTTCTATTTTAGTAAAGTAAGATTGATAATAAACTACGTTTTACTTGTATTCAAGTAATTTATGATATCGTTGAGATTATATGGAATACAGTACATTTTTAGTTTAAAAAATGATATTCATTTTTGCATTCATGTTTTGCTTTTTTTTAAAGTAATTGATTTGCACACAATTTTTGGTAGTTACCACTCAGAATGTACTTAACACAATATGGAATTTTGTTAGTTATGTGTAATGTAAATGAAAAGTTTACATTCATTTTTTATGATCCATTTTGTATCTTTGATGGTCAAATATTGTTATTTATACTGAATATGTTTATTGATAAGTTCAAACTGATATATTAAATCATACGAACATTAAGTTGACACTTTTACCGTTTTTCATACTATCTAACTTTTTATTATTTTCCTATAAATTATTCATTATACGGAAATAAAGGTTATGAAAAGTTTCTTAGCTATGCAAACACTAAGTTGTTTCATTTCTGAAATAAATTGTTGTTTTGAATATATAGTCTTGTTTTTTTTATTCATAGTTATCTGATAAGACATTTTTTAGGATTGGATAAGGCCGTTCTAGTAATGATATTTTATATTTTAACCAAAAAAGAGATTACTAATAGTACTAATTCAGTATACTTAAAAATGAGTTTGTTCACCCTTAAACTTTGAAAATTCACCCGCAAGTATTAACGATCAAATAAATTCATTCGTCGATAGCGGGATTTATCATTTATGCATTCTCATTTGGCCCGGCTCGCTTTTTATTCATTTTTCTCTTGTTCTTTCAGTTACTACCATTTCAGTGTCCAGTAAATGTTATGTGTTTGTAATCCTTTATTTGTTGACATTGTATTTTACCAACTAAAAAAAATAGAACAGTCAAAAAGATAACGATCTAAATTTAAAATATCATTACATTTCATTAACCTTATTTACTAACTTACGCCTGTTACTCCCAATCGAACATAGGTCACTGATCAGCATTCTCCAACCCAATCTGTCCTAGGCCTTCCTTTCCAGTTCTATCCTATTTTTGTTCGTTCTTCTCACGTCTGTCTCCATGTGTCCTTTTGTCTTCTTCTTTTCTTTTGGTCTTGAAGATTCCGTGTGAGGGCTTGTCTTGTGACGCAGTTGGGTGCTTCCCTCAATGTGTGTCCTATCCACTTCCAGCGCTTCTTCCTGATTTCTTCCTCCACTGGGATCTGGTTTGTTCTTTCCCATAGTAGGTTGTTGCTAATAGTGTCCGGCTAACGTGTTCGAAGTATTTTGCGTAGAAAACTGTTAATAAACACTTGTATCTTCTGGATGGTGCCTTTCGTATTCTCCAGGTTTCCACCTATACAGGAGAACTGTCTTGATGTTTATTGAAAATCCTGACCTTGGTGTTGGTTGACAGTTGCTTTGAGTTCCAGATGTTCCTCAGTCGTAAATATGCTGCTCTTGCTTTGCCGATCCGCGCCTTCACATCTGCATCAGATCCACCATGTTCATCAATGCTGCTGCCCAAATATGTAAAGGTTTTTACATCTTCCAAATCTTCTCCGTCAATTGTGATTGGATTAGTGCATTCTGTGTTGTATCGCAGAATCTTGCTTTTCCCTTTGTGTATATTGAGACCTACTGCTGCTGAGGCTCCTGCTACACTGGTCGTCTTCTCCTGCATTTATTGTTGCGTCTGTGATAGTAGAGCCAGATCATCTGCGAAGTCTAGATCGTCCAGCTGCATCCTAGATGTCCATTGTATCCCATGCTTCCCTTCAGACGTTGACGTCTTCATGATCCAGTCAATCACCAGGAGAAAGAGAAAGGGTGAGAGTAAGCAACCTTGCCTGACACTGGTCTTTACTTCAAACGAATCGGTGAGCTGTCCTCCATTCACGATTTCGCAGTTTAATCCATCATAGGAATTCCGTATGATGTTGACTATCTTCTAAGGCACATCGCAGTATCGAAGAAGCCTTGATAGTGTTGTCTTGTCCACTCTACCAAATGCTTTCTCGTATTCAACGAAGTTGATTTGAAGTGGTGAATTTCATTTAACTGGTTGTTGTACAATGATCCATGGTATTGCGATTTGGTTTTTACATGATCGATTCTTACGAAATCCAGCCTGGTGATCTCGAAGTTGGGAGTCTACGGCGTTCTTCATTCTGTTTAACAACACCCTGCTGAAGAAAATTTCCGGTATTAAGATAAGAGTGATGCCCCTGTAGTTATCACACTTGCTAAGATCGCCTTTCTTTGGTATTTTGATCAGAAGTCCTTCTTTCCAGTCTCTTGATACTCGTTCCTCATCCCAAATCATATTGAAGAGAATATGGAGTATCCTTGCAGTTACCACTACGTCTGCTTTCAGTGCCTCTGCTGGAATGTTGTCTGGTACTGCTGCTTTGCCACTCTTGATTTGTCTGATGGCCATGCTTATCTCTTCAATTGTTGGCGGGCCAACATCGATTGGGAGGTCCGTGGGTGCTGCTTTGATGTTGGGTGAATTTAGTGGGGCTGGTCGATTCAAGAGTTCTTTAAAGTGTTCTACTTACCTCTTTCGTTATTCTTCAATGTTGATGATTACCTCGCCTTCCTTGCTTTTCACTGGTCGTTCTGGTTTACGGTGATTTCCAGAGAGTTTCTTTGTTATGTCATACAGTTCTCTCATGTTTCCTTCTCTTGCGACCTTTTCCACCGTCGTTGCTAAATCTTCCACATATTTAAGTCTATCAGTTCTGATGCTCCTCTTCACTTGCTTGTTTACTTCTGTGTATTCAGCTTCTGGCTTGACTTTTTCTGTTCTTGTTCGGCTGGTATTGATTGCTGCTTTCTTGTTCCTCGTTTCTTAAAGCTTATCCAGTGTATCAACAGTGATCCATTCCTTGTGATGATGCTTCTTGTGGCCCAGGACCTCATGACATGTTGAAGTGACTGCCTCTTTGATCCCTTTCCAGTTGCTCTCCATAGTAGCTCCTTCTCCATTGAGTAGATCATGAAAGACCTGGAGCTTGTTGCTGAGGGCTATCTTGAATTTGTTGAGTTTGTCAGTATTCCAAAGAAAAGCCGTATTAAACTTTTGTGATATTTTCCGCCCCGTTGTCCAGTTCTTCTTGCGTTTCAGTCCGTGTCGTCCCATGATGTCTTCATATCCAGTGTTGTCCGTTCCAACCTTGGCATTGAAATCTCCCATCAGAATGGTCAGGTCATTTGTTTGGCACTTCTCGACGATTGACTGCAGCCTATTGTAGAATTGATCTTTAGCTTCTTCATTGTAGTCGTTGGTAGGCGCATAGCATTGGGTGATGTTCATTGAAATGCCCTCTTTCTTTGTTTTGAAGGAGGCTTTGATGATCCTTGGTCCATGAGATTCTCATCATATAAGTGCATTTTGTGCTTCTTTGGACAGCATCAATGCAACTCCTTGTGTATGTGGGGCATTTTCTTCATCATGGCCGGAGTATAACAGAAGCTCCCATGAAGCTAGTCGTTGTTGTCCAACTTGCGTCCAATTTTATTAACCTACTTGATAAGTATAAAACGTTAGATAGGATATACTTTGTTTACATAGTAATGCGGTCGAATAACCACAAAACATTCGAAGTACTATGAAAGTATTCATGAAAAGATTTGAAAACAAAGAAACTTGATATTTAAAATGAATTACAGGCTAGCCTATAACTTAACAGATCAAGATTATAAACAGTCGAATGGGTTATCAAAAGTTTAAATGATGCATAACCATAAAATAAATTGAATATTACCCTTTATAAAAATCCTAAAATATTGTTTTTTACTGATTTTTATCAAATGAAAATAACTTTTGAAAATACATCTTAAAACCAATTTTGGTAAATATTGTTATGTTCAACATAATTGTTTTCTTTCTGATGTTAATTCTTTTTCAGCTTACCAATGTTTAGTAATCAGTATATGGGAACAAGGCCAACTTCTAGAAATCTTTCAAGAGCTGCCAGTACAACAGTATATGGTCAATCTGGACCATATTCTAGACTTAATGCAGTGAGTTTTAAAAAAAAATGATATTGGACTTAAATTCTTTTTATATGAATTAAATAACATTAATTTCCATAGTAGAATTTTCTTTCAACATAAGAAGGCTTTAAAACAAGCAATTTTCAAATAAAACCTGTATCTTTTGAAATCGGATTTATGTACATGACATATTTAGTCATATTTTCTCTATAGAATCCTTTTATCTTATAATAAAACTATCAAAACAAATGTTTTTCTTAATTTGTTATTTAGAATAACTGAACTCTATAAATTAGTAAACGAGACTTGTTGAATTCATAGTTGTAGTTAATCGAAGTTACACTTAAGTTTCAGGGTGTATAGAGACGTTCCTAATTCATAAAATGGTGTACAGTGGCATATCCAGCAACTATTCACAATTTGTTTTCAGTCTATTTCATATTATAGTTTTTTTACAGTTATAGATGGTGATTTATATATGATTTGTACATTACCAATCAAGTGAAGCTGGAAAACTTTTAAATTTGAACTTAATCACTGAATAGTATCATCCCTGTCATGAGACTGGTACTCTCCATGCAATATGCGGTCAGGCTAAAATAATGTACAACTACAAATAACTTTTTATGTATATTATGCCTCTTGGAATAAAATTTCATTTCATTATTCATCCCTGTGAAATGTCAGTTAGTTTAAGCCCTTTTTAAAATATTTTACATGGATACTAAATGTACATAAAAAATCCTATAATAAATACCACTTCAGAAATGAGATCAGATTATTAATAACAGCGTAAAAATGTATTCTAAAATCATTAAAGTAAAAAGACTAATACTGTAGTATAGTTTTTACTTAAGAAACATTTTTAATGATGAATTATTCATTTGCTACAAAATAATTCTCATTAGTACTATGTTTCACAGTCAGTATAGGCAAAGTCAGGGATGACATTTATTATTTTAATTAATTTTTATTTAAATGTTAACTCTTCACACCAATAATTGTAACATTCGGTCTTAGGTAGGTGTGAGTTTAGCCTAAAGATACTTTGTGAACTGAAGGACAATTAATAAGTGAATCTGGAAAAGAACAGGAAAAAAGTAAGCAAATCGAATTTACTTACATTTAATAATGATGACAATCTACTGTAATTGGCATTAATATAGGCATGAGATTAAGATACCCTGGTAATTTTAGTTAAGAATTCCATGATTAAAATTTTAAATGAGATACACATTTAGCACTCAAAGAAAATTTAAAATTTTTAAAAAATATTGAATATATATGAAAGTGTGCAATTCATTTGTTTTATTTTGTATTTAATGATTTAGCAACAACCTCAACAGAAACCAGTAAATGCCAAAGATAATAATGATGTTGAACCAGAAGAAGTTGATTACAGTTTTATGAATCTACCAGTTCGTGAAAGACGAAAACTTTTTCTTGGTGGAGGTCAACCGCCTAGTATTCAAAGAGGTTATCTACATTCATTAACAAGTGAGTTTAATACTTGAACAATAATTATTTCGTTTTATTGATTAACACTGTAAATGTTAACTCTTTTTGTATCAGTTAAAAAATACAGTGATTACAAAACATGATAAATGGAATAATCATTATAGGAAAAAGTACATTAAATACTTATGAGAAGGAATAACAGTCAATATTGTTGGAGTTCATTCATAACACTATGAGTCTAAATCGCTTGATTACTATCCAGTCATCGTTGTTATCCTAATTTAGATAATACATAGCTCTATAATAACTACATTATAATGTAGTTTATTAATTGACACCTTACTTTCTCAAAGTTATATTAGTTATATTGGTTCCAAATTAAAAGTATGCTATAGCTTCAAAATATACTTCTACCGAACTACTTTTTAAAACTATAACGATTACACTATTATACTAGATAGGAACAAAATTAGAAAAACAGTCTTAAAATCAATTCATAAGTTAAAAATCTTTATGTCACTTGGAATATAAAGGTGAATAGGTATTTAAAATGTTTTACTAATCACTATGAAAACACATTATTATTATCATTAAAACGCTTTTCTGCCGTCGCTGTGTTCCTAAACTAATAAACAGTTTTTCCATATATGAGCTTTCTAATAAGCTATTTGTTTGATCGAAAAAATTAAATGTAACCAATGGGGTGACTTATAAGTTTGAATAATCAGATTCGAGATAGTTGTATTTACTTTTTAATTACCAAATATATTGCATACGAAAATGAACTTTTGAGAAACGTTTATCAAATAACGTTCCTAATGAAAACACATAACTGATTGATACACAAATAACATGTTTGAATACACTTACTTACTTACGCCTGTTACTCCTCGTGGAGGAGCATAGGCCGCTCGCCAGCACTCTCCATCCAACATTGTCTTGAGCAATCCTTTCCACTCGCTCCCAGTTGCTATTCATCCTTTCCATGTTTGCTTCCAATTCCCGATGTAGTGTGTTCTCCCGCTTTCTTCTTTTCCGTTTACCTCAGGATCCCAAGTTGGGGCTTGCCTCGTGATGCAGTTTAGTGATTTCCGTAATTTATGTCCAAACCACTTTCAACGTCTTTCCCTAATTTACTTTTCAGCTCGGGGTTGGTTTTTTCTCTCCCACAGTAGGCCAACGGACATTCAGTATCTTACGTAGACAATTTTTTATAAATACTTGTACCGTTTTGATGATGGTTGTGATAGTTCTCCAAGTTTCAGCTCCGTACAGTAGGACTGTCTTGACGTTCGTATAGAAAATTACGACTTTGATATTGGTTGACAAATGTTTTGAGTTCCATATGTTCTTCAACTGTAAGAATGCTACCTTTGTTTTGCCAATCCTTGCATTTATGTCTGTATCCGATCCTCCATGTTCATCGAATATGCTACCCAGATACATGAAACTTTCCATATCTTCTAGAATTTCTCCATATTTCAATACAGCAATACAACAATAAATAAATTTATTGATTTCTCTGTCTATATAACATTACACTAGTTAAAATAGATTAGAAAAGGAAATGCTTTAAAATGAATATGATACCTATAATCATGTCCAATGATTATTCAATCATCCTCTTATAGTTTCTAATTGTGTATAGGTATGTGCATCTATTAATGTATAATGTAGATAAGTGTATGTATTCATGATATTATTATATACAAAATGATAAAAATATATTGAATTTATTCAATGCTTTTTTATAAGAATTCAATAGTTTTGTTTAAATTTGTTAAATTATGCTTTATATGTTATATACACAGAAATAAATAATACGATTCATCATTCTATAGTCAATCTAATAAACTTTGATATTTTATCTTTAGGTATCTTTGGGCGAATCTGTATGCATATCTAGAACACAAATATAAATGCATAAGAACACATTCAATATTGATGTATATAAGAATAAGTATAGATTAGTATAGAATATGGTAAATAGTATAATTTAGTGCAAGTGGAGGAGGGAGGAGGAATTAAAAGACATTGAAGAAAAGAATACATTCAGTAGCATTATATAATTTCTTTTTTAATATATTAAGAATAATTGAATAAATATTAAAAAAAGATATTGTCCTTTTCAAACAATGAGATATATATATATATATATATATATATATATATATATATATATGTTTATGTATATTCATGCAAGTAAATACTTGATATTTAAAATAGTTAACATGGGATTTTAAATGTCATTTACATTAATCTATATATATATATATATATATATATATATATATATATATATATATATATATATATATATATGTTTTAAAACTATATGCGTAATGTGAATTTCTTGCAATGTACATCTAAAATGAGGACAAGATAAATGTATAAATGCATAAAAATTATTGTGTTTTTTTCAACGTCATAACTTTCTAAGATTTCCATTTGTAATAGAAATAGTCTTTAATTTGAATGGATTCAATGTTCTTTTATTGATTTATTCAAAGTGATTAAGTTAGTTTTGTTGATATTTGAACTTCTTTGTATAGAGGCTTCAATATTCTATACCATATCATATGAAAATTCATGATGAAAGATAATGTTTCAATGATAAATCCAAGTCATTAATAATAATTTAATAGTTAAGTTCATTAGTCGACTGAAGCTCGATCACTATGGAAAACCCAAAAGCACTGGACGGCGGTTTCGTCCTAGTACAGGACTCCTCGGTAGTGCATATCCATGATCTGGCCTCTCGAGATTTGGACTTAGGACCTATCAATCTCGCGAGAGAGCACTTAATCACTAGACCACCGGTGTTAATGTTTAACTTCAATCAATCCATGAAGCTGCACCACCATCCACCATTGTCTTCAGTGAGTTACTATCTTGCAACAGACCTGGTTGAGATTCACTGGTCACGGCTTCTTACTAGAACTCCAGGAAATACCTCTTAGAGACCGTCATTAGTGAGCATATGATGATTATAGTCAGAGAGGGGTTTCGTGAATATCATAGTAATTTAATAGTTGAATTCATGAGTCATTAATATTAAATCACAAAACTAGAATAACTTAACTTTTCATTTTATTGACTTAATTTCCAAAGTATATCGGATAAAAAATTAACATTTTCTTTATAACTTTCTGAGTAAAATTACTTATTAATACATGTAATATTTTAAATGATAAGAATCTTAGTGTCAATACTTCGTTCTAACAACTATTGTGGGATTTAAAGACTGCCAGATATTTATTTATATACTAGTCAAATCACATCAACCAATTTATACAATAGCCACCAGTTTAAATGACTCTATAACGTAGTGGTTGTAGATATTCGTTTAAAAGCCTTCGACTTCTGTGTAATATTAACATACTTTAACTAGGCGTACATCTGCGACAGTATTAATATTTCAGTTCTTCGGAAAGAAACTCATTGTCGGAATAGATCACCACTTCAAATAATGCGAGTTAGGATCTATAGGGAGCATCAATTTCATTAGGATTCTCAAAGTGCCTTGCTAATGAGTGACAATTGGGATCACATATAGGTTCAGTATGTCCTACCTTTTGAGTTTAACCAGAATATAGATACATGCTTATTTACATACTATAAATCCCGACCGTTGTTGATACCTTGACGTGGTGGTCGGGCTTGTCTATCGTGATGGAGTAACCGAGCTATACTGGCTGGAACAACTGTTCCTCAAGGTCCTACCATGTCAGACAGGTCAGTTGAAGAGCGGTAAGACTAAAAGCAACAAACCCAAGGTCCGAAGGCAAAGTCGTACTGCTAACTGTACAGAGGTGTGACAGCAGTAAGGTGTTTCCTTCAGACAACCAGCATGACAGCGATGCTGCCTTCCCACAAAGAGGGATGGGGTTAGAAAAGGTCGACCCTAAAAATGCACACCTCGCCTTATCTCACGGATATCCGTCTCCGAGGGTAAGGTCTCAACAAGTACGGAGCTAACACAAAAATCACCCATAAAAAGGTCGTGTGTGACCGACCTCAAGCAGTTGTCCCTTGGGCACTTCGGTCACGCTCTCAGGTCACTAAGACCACCTCTAATCCAATTTCCTTTTCAGGTACCTCCAGAACAACCCTTCCACGGTGTGGGCAACCGGGAAGTGATAACCACCCTCATACCTCTAACAGCACTCGAGACCACTGTATTCCTAATCAACCTCCGTCTTCACTTCCTATTACTCCTCCTACATCGACTCTCAACTCTAAACTTTATTTTTCGGCTTCCCCCTCAAGTGTCACTATAACCAACGATTCTAGTGCTCAAAACACTGTCCGAGGTCAAATGAAACCTCGCTCCAAATTACAAGGTGAGGCCTTCAATGTACGCACCCTATGTCAAATCGGTCAGCAGGCTTCCTTGGCTAGAACCCTAGAATCTCGTACCATTGATGTATGCTGTGTTTCCGAAACACGCATACAGGATCCCAGTGTGGTCATTCACTTGACCTCGCCTCGGCAAAACGGAGAGCCGAGATACACCCTCCGTGTGTCTGGTGACCCGATGGCCAGTTCTCGTGGACTGGCAGGTGTAGGCATAGCACTAAGCATGAGGGCCGAACAAGCACTGCTAGAGTGGATCCCCGTTAACGGTCGTCTATGTGCTGTTCGGCTAAACGGCTCCGTAAGAACTCGGAAAGATAGGGACACATGTCGTTGCCTTTTTGTCGTTTTTGCCTACGCTCCCACCGACTGCAGCTCAGATGAAGTGAAAGATGAATTTTATAGAAAGCCATCTGAACTTCTTCAGAAAGCCAAACGTTCAGACATAATACTCGTAGCAGGTGATTTTAATGCCCAGATAAGTAGTTTAAAGCAAACAGAAAGGCATTTAAGTGGGTATTTTAGTATTCCAGCACAACAAACACATAATGGTGATCGTCTGCTGCAAATGTGCTCAGACAATCGTTTATTTTTAACAAACACAAATTTTAGGCATAAGGAGAGACATCGTCTAACATGGCGACCCCCTACACCAAACCAACGATGGACTCAAATAGACTATATTGCCATCAGTCATCGTTGGAGAGGGTCGGTAGAAGATTGCCGCTCATTCTGGAGTACCTGCTTGGACTCTGACCACGCCCTAATACGAGCACGCATCTGTTGCACCTCACTGGACGCAAAAACGCCACAGTAAAAAGATCCATTAGAACTGAATTGAGTAACGAGAAAACCAAAAGTAGGCTCCAGGAACAACTGAGGTCACACTTAGGTAGTTCTGAAAACGAGGCTGACCCAGATGTTGCTTGAAAAGCTATACAAACAGCTGCGGAAACAGCAGTGACATCTATCAGTGATTTAAACCACAGGGTTACAAAGAACCAATGGATTTCTTCAAAGTCTATCACACCGATGGATTCTCGCAAACTCATCCTATCAGGCTTTGAACACGATGAAGAGCAACAACAAATCAAATCTAGGTTAAGCAAAAGTCTAAAGAACGACCGTGAGCAGTGGTGGGCAATGAAAGCAAAAGAGATGGAAAAGGCGGCGACTATAGGGAACACAAGACAGCTTTACAGACTAATAAAAGAAACTGGAATTAATAAGTCAAGTGTAAGTCAGACTATTTCGGAAAAAGACGACACCCTCACCTGCTGTCAGTCCAGACGTTTAGAACGATGGGTGGAACATTTCAGAGAACAGTTCAACTGGCCTTCAGCTACTCTACAACTACCCTCCATTCCCAGACAGTGTGAATGGAACATTGAAGTAGGTCCCCCAAATCTAGCAGAAGTTCAAAAGGCTATAGTTATTCTGAAACAAGGAAGGGCAGCTGGTCCAGATGGACTGGCTCCAGAGGTCTTTAAGTATGGTGGTCCAATTTTAGCGATTAGGTTGACTAATATTTTAGCTAAGATCTGGGAGTTAGACGTTATCCCATCTAACTGGTCACAATCACTTATCGTCCCTATATATAAGAAAGGGTCAAAATCATCCTGTGACAACCACAGAGGGATTAGTTTCACTAATATAGTATCTAAAATACTAGCCTCGGTAATTATCAGACGCCTAATTAAGACTCGTGAACTGCAAACACGAGAGAATCAAGCTAGCTCCAGACCTGGTCGTGGCTGCATCGACCACATATTCACCATTCGTCAGGTTTGAGAACACAGGCATACTTATCGGCGTCCGACAATGGTGGTCTTTCTCGACTTAAAAGCAGCATTTGACTCGGTAGACCGCGAGATTCTGTGGCAGTGTCTGTCATTGAAAGGCGTACCTCAGAAGTACATAAACCTTGTGAAGGCTCTTTACTCGGAAACTACCACTCGAGTCAGAGCTTATGGCGAACTATCATCTACTTTTGCAACCTCAAGTGGTGTCCGTCAAGGCTGTCCACTTTTCCCATTTTTGTTTAACTTCATCATAGACCTACTGATAGAAATAACATTCTCGTCGACTGAATTCTCGGGTATTGATCTCCTACCAGGAGGTCCACTTATCGACTTAGAATACGCAGATGACATAGTCCTATTTGGTGAAGACGCTGACAAAATTCAGAGTCTTTTGATAGCACTAAGCAACAATGCCAGAATGTTTGGAATGCGCTTCTCTCCCTCTAAATGCAAGTTGTTGCTTCAGAACTGGTCTGCGTCAACACCTGAACTAAGAATAGGGATTGAAGTAGTCGAACGCGTTGGCAACTTCACTTATCGTGGAAGTTTGACCAGCCCTAATGGGTTGGTGTCTGACGAAATCTCAGCACGGATTCGAAAAGCTCGTTTGGCTTTTGCCAACTTACGTCACCTTTCTGTCTTCCCTTAAACTAAGAGATTAAAATCGCTTCACATCTTTCTTTCAACGAACTAATTCTTTCTTCCTGTATTATATCCTTATTGCAGTCTCTCTTTTATATATTACCACCTCTGAATTAACTATTTTTATGAATCCGGTGTCTATCTTGTTATGTTAATAAGGTATGGCAACTTGGACCGATGCATAAATGTGCCTGGTCCTACGTTGTAGCTGACTGACTGATTGACGTACTATAAACATGCATCAGTAGTTCTAAAATAGTTAGCATTTAAATTTTTCAAATAATCATTATTTCGAGTCATATTTACATCCGTAAAATGCAATCAGTGTTTTGAATAATTACGTTATTATAAGAGGTGAAATGATAATGATTATTACGTTAATTTTTATTCATGTCCAGTGCCAAGAAAAAGAAACGATGTAAACAATTTTCATAATCGATATGAAACTCAATCGGAATATGGTGGAACAGATCATAACTTTGGATGGGATGCTTCAGTAACACCAGCATGGGTTAGAGAAAATCGTACAACCAATACTAGTGAACCAGTAAAATCAAGATCAACTAAAACATTCAGTTTGTCTACAATGCCATCAGAAAAATCATTTCAACAGGAATTCACTCAATACGTTGCTGGACCACCTTCACCTCGTTACAATCAGGTAAATTAACAGACTATTGATTTTGTAATTGGATGTCATTATTTTTTGTGAAATTCATATCTCTCGTAATAAATATTACTCTATCGATACACAATTTATTGAAAGTGGATGTTTTAGACAACTTGTGAGATAAATTCATACGAATACGATTACCTCGAAGTTTCTTATAACTATCATTATTAAAATTTAAACTAATTGGAATGAATGGATTTAAACAATTTGATTGGTAATATTCATTGGTAATGCGTTTATCTAAAATACGGAAAACTTAGATGTGATATAAATATATTTTCTGATAGACCACATTTACTGGTGTCCAAAAAACAAATCAAATAGCTAGGTACCTATAATTATTAACTGTTTACATTATACTAATAGTAAATTTCAAAACTTTGGTGTGTACGATAGGAAAATCTGTTATTTAACAAGGTAGTGCATTTATGCAATGTAAAATCTGGTCACAAATAGTTCGATGAAAGAAAAAGTTATTACTTTGCTGAGTAACACAAGTTCCAAAATTTCATAGCTCACGAAGCGGACGTTAAAGAATTCCTGCTATTTATGAAGAATAAAGATGATGGGTTTGTATCTTAATATGAATTATGAAAGAATAAATTAATGATCGAAGCTCAAATAGCCTTCTTATTATTCCAGTAACAAACTAGATATGATCTTCTGGTAATTTCCTGTCAAAAACTGACATCACTTTTAAACTTGGTTGTTAATTTAATAATAAATTTTGATGTTAAGTTATGCAAAAGAGATTTTGACAGCCAACAATATTTATTGAAGTTTTCAATTCGAACCAATAGTGAATCCGCTAAATCATGAATTTACTTTAAATTTCAAGATACAGTACTCCATTGATTGTATATGTGTTATATCTAGATGCTTATATTCTTGATATGACGAGTATAACTTGAGCACTAGAATGCTAGAACCCTTCCAAGTCGCAATGAGATGACAGAAGACTGGTGAAAGGAATGTTATTCCAGACAGTGTCAAATTATAGTACAAAGCTGTCAGGTATTTATAGTTTTTATTAAAAACGAAATCGTCATTATAGTTATCCAATCCGCACACAGGAGGTTATTAGCATTGTCCAATCGGGAAGCTACACGTAGAAGTTCCAGAATATTTTTCCAAAAATGATTGGATGGAATATCCTCGGCTCTTTCTGAGCTTCTTAAGGCTTCCTCGAGTTCACCCGTGAACCATCCTCACAATATGTTTCGAAAAACAGTAGTAAATTGGTATGCTTTATTATTATGTGAAACAGTACTTCATGGAATCAATAACAAAGCACCTAAAGAGCAGAATTACTCATACGCTCTTTTAACGTATATCAAATAAATAATTCCTTTTTTTCATTAAATTAGTGAGTTTTGTAAGGAACATTACAATTCATAATTATATTTCACTATATTACCACATAGTACGTATTGCATTTCATATACTATTCAAAAGTGTAACTTGAACAAATTATGGACGAAATAGACAAAAAATCTTATTTCAAATTTTTATAATACAACATGCTTTGTTGTACGTATATTAAAGTATACAATGGAATGTATAGTGTGCTTTTTTTCTCTCAGATATAAGAAAAATATCCATATACTCTGCTATCAGACTACTTATCTAACCTTGTTATTAATGTCCATTGTTTTCTTTGCATAGTTTTCTATCTTTGTAGCTACTTTTCAAATAAAGCTATATATATACTTCTTATCTTATGCATATATTGTTAGAGTTAACTTGTTGATATATGACCTAAATTCATGGACATTTAGGATAAAATTTGATTATCTTTGCACCTTTTGTTTAGGCAGATAAGAAAATTTATGTCTGTAACCAAAGTTAAATGTTCCCGTCCGTATACCCATAAATTGGACTGATTTATTTCAACTTTTGTGACCGTTTACTTTGTTGAGTTTAAAAACACAGTGATTTACATATATCATTGATTTTACATAATACATTTACTGTTTATATATTTTCTGGTACATTGTACTGATCAGTTTGTATGTACCATCTTCGTTAGGTATGGTGAATAGAAAAAAAGATTGACTTAGTTTTCTTGTAATTCATTTACCAGTTCATGAACAGTGTAGTATTCGATTTTAGTCTTGGGACTCTACTGGGTTGATTATAATACGTAGTGCATTATTGCAAAAGTATAATACAGTATTTTGGTGGAGTTTTGTTCTCTGAGGTAGACACCAAACCCTATATGAAATTATTAGTTAACCATCTCACTTATTTCAGTGTTTTATCAGTCATGTTTTATATTTGGTTTCAAAAATGTCCTGTCTAAATGTTTTTAATGATCACAACTATTAGCGTTCGAAGTGAGTAATCATTCGATCTAAATTGAATAAAGATAAACTTAGCTACTTTCATAAGAAAACAAAATATTCAATGACTGAGAGTGAAAAATAAACATCCTCAGACTTAGACTTCGTATTACTTGAAATTCTTTCTGAAGGATGATATCATTAAAATCACGAAAATAGAGCAGAAGATCACTTATAATTCCTGAGTATTTTGTGATTACTCCCAGCCACCGAACACCAGTGCCAGTATAATGGGAGTGTGTAATTATTTGGCTAAGTGGTACTGTAGTGAACGAGAACACAAGTGCTGACAGCCAAATGCATTTTGAACAAAAAATTACAGAACACCTTAGTAAAATATGAGAATCATACAATGAATACTTAATTTGTAAAATGTCAATCAATTGTCTCAAACTTGACTGTTCTTCTTTAAAATTTCAGTCAATCATCTCAGACTTTATTGTTCCTGCATTTCCATACCAATTGCTTTCTGTTCTCGTTCTTTCCTCCTCGATCTTCTTGAGATTCTGCTTCCAGACTGGAGTTATATACAACACTATATAAGTAGCACACACCGCAGTATCATCGAAAATTTAATTGGTAGATCTTGATAAACAGTGATTAAGAGACATAAAATATAAGTTGTTTAATCGAATACAACATGGTTTAAAAATTTAATTCTATATAGCATTCGTATCAGCATTTAGATTCGCTACACAGTTGATCACAAACCGTGGTCTATTATTAACCTAGAACTTTAGTAAGATAGTTCGAAATTAATGGGTTTAAATAACCTGTATTATATATCAAGCTTTGCTCAGTTGCTTGATCGTAATTATAAATTTTATTGAATCAGTATTTGTTTTAATTTATACAAAATTTTGATAAGGAAGAAAGTCATTACCTAAATCAATTTTTATTGAAACTTACTGCTTACAGAACCCACCCGCTACTACAAACTATTTCAATACTGTGCAACCAAAATCTAATTATAAACAAAACTATCCTCAATATTCTGCAACTATACATGTTCAAGATTCACATCCAACTGGGAACATAACATCTGGACGAGTGTACAATGGAAGCTCAACACGTATCCACCCTGCTAAACAATATAATTCAAGTTCATCACCTGTTAGACCAATTACACCTTCATCAGTCTATCCATCATATAATTCGTACAATTCACTATCGCGTGGTTCCGGCAGAGTTGTACAACCTCTACGTGTAAATGTATACAACAGGTTTGTTTACATGTTTTAATCATCACTTTTTATACTGTATTATTTCTGTCGACATTCTGAACTATCTCAGTAGGTATTTAGAATGGTCACTGAATAGTGTAAAATGTTGTGCACGTTTAGTCCTTGATGCTCAGTGATCAGCCAATATTCAGTCAGTGTGACCAATAGATATAGAATGTTAGTCAGACAGGAGGTCAGTCATGTGCCGTCTCAGAGAGACAAACTGTTCGATCCAAGTTCGAATCTACCGTAGACTGTCTGTCTACTCAAGACTAAAGCTATGTGGTACTGGCTAGTACCAAATAGCATGAAAAACGTCCTTTGTTCCTTATTAACTACCTCCACCCAGGTAATAAAGACACAGTACCTGTGATATCGAGTCACTTGTGCTAGGGTTCAAATTGCTACATAGTCAATAGAGTCAGTACTAACAACTAGACGAGCATGATAGTGGAAATTGAAACTCTTGAGTCGTTAGCGTGAAAGAACTTTAAGATTTTATGACAAGAATAAAAAGCTGTAGATCACTAAGTTGGAATGCAAGAGTCTATCCATTTGATTTCGACCAACTCGTGGTATTCCCTATTTATGGCATAGTTTCATTTCATCAGCCAGAACTCATTACTTACGCTTCGCCATGGTATTGCCTGTTTACTCTCCTACTAAATCTCCATCGTGGTTCATAAAAAGAAGAATAAAATTGAAAAATTAGAAATTTTCTGACTTGCAAAGGATTGCTCGGTAAGTTTTATGTCACTTCTTAAAATACCCCGATATTAGTAGTAGTTATCAACCAATGTAACTAATTGATTTTTCACTAATTATATTAGGAAATCAATTTCTGAGAGTAAAGATAGGTGCTAAAACAATTTCAGTAATTCTCATTTATTATACTGTTACCATGTAATCTGACTCCATGAAGATTGAAAACAGTGCTTATCATTTTTTATGGCTTACATATGATTTTTTTATGTTAATGTAAAACATTCAGTAGTACTCTCACTTTAAACGTGAGTTAATCGAAATTTGTCTACTTACAGCCAATCGGATCTTAATGATTACACAGTCTTATTAAGTGTCATGTTTTAGTAATAAGATTTTGTGAAGATGTAAATTTTCATGAATTAGGTCATGATTAAACAATCATTGAAAAGCAGTTTTTGTTCTAGTCTAAGACTTGACAGTGCGCATCCACGAACACATCATTGGAGGCCTATCCCAGAACCTTTGATTTCTTGCGCAAATTCCTAACCTCTAGACAGTCATCCACCTTAGGTAATGTCATGTTTGTCTAGTCCTAAGTGATGATCAAACTATACCAACTGTATTCTATGTGACTGAGCATCGTGGTGGACACTATGTCATATTTTCGTGATTGTTGTCAATCGACAAGAATCCCTGCTTATATGTTTCATCCTATTTGACGTCAGCGAGCTGTGTGTTCAGCAAATTAAATGATGCTTCTGTAGAAAGTCACCTTTTATTATCAACAAAATTATCACATAATCAAACACATAAGGGTTCAACATAAAAATGTATTATAAATATGGGATATATATATCAAGGTTCATATTAACTATATTCAAATTCATAAAAACAGAACAATTATTCAATACATTTTCCAGACAGTATTCCATAAATCTTCTTACTGTCAACAGATGGTCAATTTAATATCAAAAATAAGTTCAAAAGTGGATTTCATGATTAAATAGTATCTACTAGCTGTTCATATAGGATGTAACAGCTGTTCAGTACTCCATGACTTTTATTAGCTATGTTAATAGCATCGAATGTCAAAGAAAATAATTCACTTTACAAATTAATCATGTTGATTTACTGATCAACAGAACCGAAACTTATTAGTACAACCAAGGCCTTATTAACTAACAAATTCCATTTATAAAGTTCGTATTAGGGTTAGTAAAACAAATACTTTGATGATATAATCCATATTAATCTAATGATTCCCTTCAACTACTCATTAGTTATCAGTATAGTATAGTTACTTATCTGAGTTTCCACCGTGGAAGCTCAATAGATGGAACTGAATTTTCATTCAAAGACCAAAAGACATGAAGAATTTTAGTTATCAAGAATTCACTAATGTACTAATAAAACTATAAATTCGTCCTTAGAAGATGTTGAAATTTCAAATATGTTCACTGCATACTGATGTACATTGAAGAACTCTTATTGTTTTTCATATTGTTGACAAATTTACAAGAAATAAACAAGCGTTTCGGTATGCTTTGTTTCCTTAGCATTGAAAGTTTCCAAAAGCGTATTGAAAAATGTATTTATTGAAATTCAACATAACTTTTCCGAAAAACTTCGGCATTACGGACCTAAGTCATCGGTTAAACTTCATGTGATCTGGGTCTTTTTGTGGCATCTCACTAAAATGTTAGCAAATAATATACAGTGAATAAAAAAATCGATCTGATTTTATCAATCCATTGGTCGAAACCTTGTTAGCAGTAAATCAAAGTGTTCATGTTCCAGTAAAATAATAAATTTGAATGGAATATTTTAGTGAGAGTATTCATTTAACTTTCGGAAGTAGATAAATGTGAGAGTATATTCAGTTCGTGAAGAATGAAACATCTAATAATGTCAATTCTGTTCGTGTGACAGCCATTTGAATTATTTATTAATAAATATATAATACAGCCTAATGAACATCACTGATTTGTGTACTAGACTATGAAGTTTAGTGATTTTATTTAATTATTACTTTAAATGATAGATTAAATTTCAAGTAGGAAATGTGGGTCATTTAACTCTAACTCAGAAGTAGCGTGCTTAACAAGGGACCTAAAAGACCTAGGTCCGGTCTCTCGGGGAATAATGGGCCACCAGTCCCTTGGGTTTCCAAACTAAGATAAAACAGCTGGTTAGTACTCTTTATTTTTGAAGGATTTCTGGTTCATATCAGTCCCTGACGAAAAGCGATTTCAACATAGACTGAATTCCGTAGGCTTCTGAAAACGATCATTCGAAACTTTTTAAACTAGATATACTACTTAGCATTCTTATGTATTATATGGAAGAAATGTATAACTAAATTAGTATTACTTAGTCGAAATTTTGTTTGTATATATCTCTACTTTTAGCGATAATGCATCTACGGTATACAGTCCACATAGAAAAGTAGAATGTTCTCCCAACTGGAATCCTAGTTCACCTATTTATCCAGCATATCCAGCCTATATGGATAAATCAAATCATGTTGATATTCAGGTGAATTTCTAATTATATTTTCTGTTTGTTTCATAAATTTTAAAATAACAGTGTTCTACTAACTATGTCGTTAAGTATATTCGCTTTAAATATTATGTTTTCTTCAATCTATAGTTGAACAATTTAAGTCTTATCAGAGGAAATAAAACTGGTTGATGTGTAAGATTGTGAATATGTTCTAGAAATTACTGTGGTAATCGGTAACTGTTCAATGAGTATACAAGTAAAAATTAATTTATGAAGTATACAACTTACAAGTGAAGAAATAATAATGACAAAGAGATATAAAACAACGATATATTTAGAGTATTAGTGATGACAGAAGGTTATTTCTTCAGAATTTCTTCACTAGGGTTTCAAACAAAAGAGTACTGGATTCATGGAACAATAGAAGTATGCTCAACAGGAAATTTGAAATAACATGCCAGTTGGTCTTATCACACGACTATGTGAGATCTGTGTTTTAGGTTTGTTTAAACGTGACAGTGTTAACTACAACCTTCAGAATAGTCTTCACCCATGGTATTCACAGTATCTAACGTATTGAGACCACACATATATTAACACACCAAATGCCCCGTCTAGTTCTAGTTTTTTAATAGTTTGAGGTCAAGTAACATAATATCACAATATTGTTCGTCATGTTAAGTGTGATAAATCAAAACAAATAAATTTCGGGATTAAATTACACCTCATCTCGCAGTATTACGCTAATCTGCAGTACAAAACTCATGCAGCCAGAGAATCGAAACCGATCAGCTAGCTATATGAGACGGATATGTACATTATGCGTCGTATGAAAATGACTAATTTTGTACTATAAACGAATGCATCTGGGTTAGTGTGTGCATCAATACAACTCCCATCTTGTTTCCGATGAAAAAATGTCTGAAAAACCGTGTTTGTAGTCTCGTTACTAAGCCTCCTGAGTCATAATAATAGCACAGCTGCACGCCAAGCTACATTATGGACGCTTAACTTTACTACATTGTTAAACTCAGATAATCGCTACATCAGAAGATAAAATTTTAGACGTCCCTATTAATACACCTTGTTTTTTGTCCAACGAGACCTGGCTGAATTATTTTAACCAAATAACACTAATAATACAACTAAAATGAAATGAAATAAAAGCACCAATACAGCAAAGAATAACGTAACAGTATTCTAGCACATTGTGAAGATTTGCATTGTCATTTACTTTAACGCTTCTGGCTGACTGAATACACTTCATCGTTACATTTATAACCGAAGTTGAACTTTCGAGTACATTTCTTGACACCCCAAGTCAGGAGGGCCAATAAAATAAATCAATCCTCACATACATGTGTACGATCGGACATTAATTTACACTTATCTTTCTTCTACAGATTGCATGTAGTACATAAGCTAAAGTATTCCACACCATGCAACAGTGTGAGAAAATTTTGTCATTAGGCTTCTATGTCTGTATCTGCATACATTGATTTTAATAACAACAGAATTGAAAGAATCATGAAGCATGTAAAAGATGTTGATGGAAGATGTGCAATTTAGGTATTTGGTGCGTGACCTTCATATTTTACGAAAGCACTCTGTAATTTTGGATTACCCAATAAACTGGTTATCCCCCACCAAGCCTTCATTCACTACGATTGGTGTCGCTGCCAAAGGGCAGGAAGAGAATATAGAATTCTGAGGACACCAATTTAAGACCCAGATAAAAAACGCTAGTTGGCGCGGTCCGGTGCATGGAGAGGACGTCTATTGGAGTGTTTTGGCGGGTCGGCATTGGCTGTTGACGGGAGGAGAAACCAGGCTCCGAGTTCTGTGTGAACATTTGATTCAGATGATATTGCAGGTTGGCATTGTTATGACGATCAGTGCGCTGGCGGACTCGGCATTTCGAAGAAGAGCGCGACACAGACTGAGACAAGGAAGAGAGCGACGCGGCAGTGAGAACGACGGCAAGAGTGACTTTTATTTAAATCGAGAACTAGTATGGCGTATGCTACTTATCTTGACAGTTATAAGTAGTACGTCGCATCGATTACATTTTGATTGATTGTTTGCTTATTTATTTATGAACTACTCGTAGACTACATAACTTAAGTGTGGTGGGTTTATTTGGCGAATATTTTTCAAGTATGTGAGGGGATTTATATGAGTGAGGAAGGTTGTGTGTGCTCATTTGGTCATAAGAAGAAACCTAGGATGAAATGTTACAACTTGAATAAATATATATTGTATACGAACTACTGTTAGACAGTATTTGAGATTCTACTTTTAGTAATCTACCGGGACAATAGTTTCTGTTCAAAAGGGGTTTCCTAATATCTTCTTACCTGTACTCGTAAACTTTATTCAAATCAGAGTCTAGAACAAGAACCCTCAGTAACTGAAGAAATGATATTTACACAGTACACTTGTGTACACGGGAAGACATGACTGAACAAACCAGGCACAATGCAGTCATGAAAAAACTTTGCATTGTAACTTATCTTCAAATTCAATAAAATCACCAAATGAATCCACTAAACAAACATTCGACCAAAAACTATTTTGTATAAAAAGAAACTATTCTTTAAAACAGTCAAAACACTATAAGTACTCTTTTCTAGTTACGTACGATTGCATATAACAACTTACTTGAATGTGCCAAAAAATATAGATTAAGAGAACATAAAGAATGATAAATGTTTCCATTACTGAGTGCGCTTCAGTGAAGTTAAGACTCAAAGACATCAAAAATGATTATTGTTCATTACCTCCACAATTAATCGGTAGCGATCATCTAGATTTTTTTAAGTAATCTTAAACGAATAGTAAATTGAGGGATAACTTTCTCATCATTTGCTGAATCCGATGTTCTTATAAGAATGAACAAAACCCGTCATAATAAAACAAAACGTTGATTACCCTCCTCTTAACTATCATTGTTAATAACTTATTATATCTCAGACTAGTTATCTCATTCCCTTAATATTTACGTAGATCCTTCAAAATTTTGTCAACATTTTACCAAGTCTCCAGACGTATATATATCATACTATTTATTTACATTGAGAACAACAATATTTAAAGCGTTCCGGTGATAATTTCTTAATTGGATCATGGTGCATTTTTACTGTACAACTATTCAAAATAGGTATTTATATGATATACTTAATCATAACACCTTGTAAGCGTGAAAAAGGTGAACATTTCCCGTATGTTAAAAGCTTCGAAACGATAATTAAAATCCTCTTGAAAGATTATTTGATTGATAGGTTGTAAATTCAATGATTTTATTATTTTGCGGTTTTTCTATCTGACCATGTTGTTTTTAGCCTTTACGTTATAGACGAGAGCAATCTGTTCGACCAGTAACAATCTATTCAACAAATAATCCATCAACTAATACAACAATTGAAACGAAACAAGTATGGAAAGCTATACCAGCTCAGAATTGGTTAGATACACAAAGAACAGTACGTAGTGGTACATTTATAACTACAACTAAGAAAATTCCTAGTGGACGACGTCCAGATATTAACAATGATCCATCAGGTGTGTCAGAGTTTTAAAAATCAACATCTGTTTCGACTTAACAACAATAACATTACATAACTACTTATATATTGTCAAATATGAAATAAAAAAGCATTTTTACATTTCTAGTAATCAATATGACATCGGAGAATATTATAGAATTAGAAGAGTTCAATTGAACAGGAATTGTTCTTCAATATAGTAATTTATTTCCCAAGATTACATCTAGTCATTTATTTTACCCTCGTTTTAACGCTATTTAAATCATTAACTAAGATAACATATTTGTTTGCTTCTTTTTGCTTTGATTTTAACAACAAATATATAAGATGATTCTTTTGTTTTGTTTAGTTTTTTCGTTATGGTTTTCGTCTACAAACACTAATGAGATAAAAAAAAGAAAAGTTAATAATGAATTTATATAGAATTATTATTATTATTATTATTATTATTATTATTATTATACTTTTTTGTCTTCTCAAAAATTGATTCTCATTACGTTCCTCTTTCTCCTCTTACTTAAGTGTTATTTCGTAGGATTACAGTTTTATTTTCATTAAAGTTGAAGATTATAATTCTTCAATTTATTTTGTTGTAATTCATTGATATAAAATATTATTTATCTTCAAAATTGCATGAGTTTATTGTATTAGTTATATAATATTTGTTTTATTCACTTAAAACTATTTTTATTGTTTTCATTGTTTCAATTATTATGACAATCATAGCTACTAAAGTTATTATTGGTTGTTATTCATTTCTATTATTCATTGGCTTTATCCTTTCAGAATCTCTTATTCAATTTAATCAAGTTACTTTATGATATTTTTTAACTTCATGGCATGATACGCTTTAACTAAGCTTTTGTCTTCTTTTTTTTAATTTCCCAAAAATCGAAACATGTACTTGTTTTCTAAATAAAATCTTTCATTTAATTTATTAAATAATACAATGAAATACAAACATTAGCAAAGATACATACATACTGAACATCACATTAAACGAATCTTCAAAGGATTATATATATATTGTGATTGAAATTCCCTTATGATTTGATTAAACAAATAAACTACCTTCCTTTATTGATCCAAAGTGTTGTGTTTCTTTTCAACAAAAAAAAAGTCTTTTAAGCCTACTTTTTCAACAACAAAAAATTACTCACAATAGAATCATTTGACAATTGTCATTGGAATAATCGTACAGATTATTAAAGTAAATGTATCAAACTAATAAACAACAGAAGGGGGGAAATTTTAGTAATTTAATAGTTGAATTCATGAGTTAATTGAAGCTAGACCATCATGGAAAACCTGGGAGCACTAGACGACCGTTTCGTTTTACTATGGGACTCTTCAGTAATGCTCATCCACGATTCCACCTTTCGAGATTCGAACCAGGATCCATCGGTCTCGCGTGCGAACTCTTTTTACCATTAGACCACTGAGCCGCCATTCAGTGGTGTCAATGTTTAAGTTCAACTAATCCACGAAGTCGCGCCAGCGTCCACCGTAATCTTCAGTGAGTTACTATTTCACAACAGATCTGGTTGAAATCCAGTGGTCATAGATTTTCACTAGAACTCCAGGAAATACCTCTTGAAGCCAGTCACTAGTGAGCATATGTCGATTAATATCAGAAGCGGTTTTTGTGGGGATTTTAATAATTTAGTAGTTGAATTCATGAGTCAATTTAAGCTATACCAACATGGAAAACCTGGAAGCACTGGACAGCTGTTTTGTCTAAGTATTGGACTCTTCAGCGGCGCGGGATTCCAATCAAGGACCTATTGTTCTCGCGCGCGCGAACACTTGACCTATGTATTGCTTCCAGGTTCTCCATGGCGGTCTAGCTTTAGTTGACTCATTAATTCAACTGCTAAATTAATAAATAACAGTTAATTTCTGTCTACGAAACCATAATTGTTACAACTTAGTCAATGTTTTTATCAACTAGAGCAATAAGTACATTATATATATTATCAGAATGTGTTTTGTGGAGATTTTTAGAAATTTTCACAGATTGAAATCATGAGTCAGTTGAAGCTAGACCACCACTGAAAACCTGGAAGCACTGGACGGCCGTTTCGTCCTGGTATGGAACGGCCGTCCAGTGCTTCCAGGTTTTCAGTGGTGGTCTAGCTTCAACTGACTCATGATTTCAATCTGTGAAAATTTCTAAAAATCTCCACAAAACACATTCTGATAATAATAATCACCTGCTCACTAGTGACTGACTTCAGGAGACACTTCTGGAGTTCTAGTGAGAAGTCGTTACCAGTGGAGTTCAACTAGGTCTGTTGTGAGATAGGAACTTACTGAAGACAATGGTGTACGGTAGCGCAACTTCGTGGATTGGTTGAAGTTAGACATTAACACCGTTGGATGCCGGCTCAGTGGTCTAATGGTTAAGTGCTCGCGTGCGAAGCCAGTAGGTCCTGGGTTCGAGCCCCGGGTGGTGCGGGTTCGTGGGTGTGCACCGCTGGGGAGTCCCATACCAGGGCGAAACGGTCGTCCAGTGCTTCCAGGTTTTCAATGGTGGTCTAGCTTCAACTGACTCATGATTTCAATCTGTGAACATTATATATATTTAACCATTTTTTTATGAAGTAATTAGTAGTTCAGTAAAATAGTTTCCAATTTTATATTCTTAGATTTATTTGGAATTGAAATGAATTATCTCGATCGCATATTTTCGAAATGTTTGTGCTTGTATAGAGCCACCTAATTTTGGTGTATGTGATTAATAAAACAGAATGCTAAGAAGTAAGGTGTTTGCAGATCCTAAACGTTTCCATTATTTAATGTCTATTTTAAGATTCCAATGACATCTTTGTTCATGTAACTAATTTTGAGATGGTGGAGAAGATTTATTATTCAAGTAGATGATTTAGATGGCTTTTATTACTGACGTTTAATCTATCGCTGTCTACACCCTTATTTTGATCGCATCTCCCTTTGATACGATTCTTGATCCTATATTTGTGTGGTGTTTGAATGAACCAATGATACCTTTGTACTGGTTGAATGTTTGATTTCGAATTCTAAATACAGTACATTCGTTGTGCCTGTGTCTTCTTAATTCAATTGCGTTAATCCTGGAATTCCTAATTCATACGACAATTAGAATACTATATTGGCGTCGTGATGGAACCTGCAATGGAAAAGTTGGATATTCATTCAACTCCTGAAGCTATTGAGGATTATTTGGAAAGGTTCGAAATTTGGAGCATGACCAAGAAAGATGTTAAAGGTGAGAAAATTGTGGCACATTTTCTGACATTCATTGGGAGAGAAGCGTACAGCTTATTAAAAACTTTGGCATATCCAGAAAAACCTATCTCACTCCCTTATGCAATTCTTAAAGAGCTATTGTTAAGTCATGTAAAATGCACCAGTTTTGAATGCCGTGAAAGGGCGAAGTTTCATAAGATGGTTCGTCAAAATGACCAAAAGGTTCGGGAATTCATCCTTACAGAAACAAGCTGCCAAGTGTAATTTCGGTGATCAACTTCATGTGCAACTGAGAGATCGATTAATTGCAGGAATTAACATACCGAGTTTGGAAAGAGAGCTGTTAAGAATGCCAAACTGTTCCTTTTGTAGCGGTAAGTAAATCCCTAAAATAAATAGCTCTGTAAGTTTTCGACATTGGATGCTGACCATATGTTTTAGTGGACTCATCTAGCTGAAGGCGCTCGGTCAGGCATCCGCACCAGATCACGTGTGGTAACGCCGTGCTCAACATCAACCGCAATCGCTAGCCAGATTAGATCAGAGAATTCCGATATATTGGTCATCGCCAAATATACTCTTCCGATCTCCTCGACTCTGTCTTTTGATTTCTCTGGGTGGGAACGAAATATATTAGAAGGTGTTACTGGTAGAAGCGTTGTCAAACACTGAATACCTGTGACATCATCATTGGTGAAACCGACGTGATCTGGTACACCTTATTGCAACTGTGAGTCTGTTCCTTTTTGGGATTTTTATATATCATTGCCTTATTTTTTTACTTTTTTTAAACATTGTGATTTTTTTCGTGCTTTTTCTTGTATATATATATTTTCCCCTCGTTCATTATCATACTTAATATTTCATCATGACTGAACAGACACCTAAAGTACTCAAGCTTAAGACTTTGTCCCCACCTTCGTTTCAACTGATGCCTTTCTGGCCCGACAACATCGAAGCCTGGTTTTGCTACGCAGAAGCCGACTTCTCCGAGCACAGCGTGATCGACACACGTGCACAATTCCTCGCAGTAGTCAAGGCACTACCGCGCGAATTCAACAGGTACGTGACACCTAGTATGTTTACTAGTGATGTTTCCGACCCTTACGAAATCTTAAAACGCTCGATTCTTAAACGAGGAGATCTAACCGATCGACAAAGGTTAGATCAACTCTTCAATAACATCGACCTGAAACACGGTTCTGCGACAGACATGTTGCAACGGATGAGAGAGGTTATAGGCCTAAGAACTTTCGACGAAGGTCTATTCAAACAACTCTTCTTGTCAAAACTTCCCCAACAGGTGCAAGCAGTTCTTGTCTCGTTCCAGAACAACGGCTTAGACGAGCTAGCTGCATCTGCCGACCGCATTCTAGAAATTACGAAATCTACTGCTGAGGTATTTTCAGTCAAAGAAAAGCCTCACACGACTCAGAACGATATAACCGACTTATGTCACACACTCACGCGTTATCTTAGTCTTCGTACCGACCGTAAGAGATCGCGCACACCACGTAGAAGCATTTCTCGTAAGCGATCTGTCTCTAGACCACGAGAGACGGATAACCCCGACTGGTGCTGGTATCATAACCAGTATGGAAAGTTTTCCAGAAATTGCAGAAAACCCTGCAATTTTCCCAACACGAAACCGACTGACTCGAAAAACAACTCGGGAAACTTCCAAGCCGGCACGCGTTAACGGCAACCGTAGCCGGCGAACATAGCCGTCTGTTATACGTCACAGATGTGACAACGAGAGTTCGCTACCTCGTCGATACTGGCGCAGAAGTTAGCGTTCTCCCAGCGAATCCCAACGATCGGTTTCAAGAAACGGCTCTAAACTTACAGGCGGCAAACGGAAAACCGATCGCTACGTATGGCAAAAGGTACGTTTACCTTAACGTGGGTTTACGCAAACCCATCCACTGGATTTTCGTTGTTGCAGATGTTTCTATGCCAATCATTGGTATGGACCTTCTACAACACCACAATCTGATCATCGACACTCGCAAACGAAGGCTAGTAGACGGAAACACTAATTTGTCCGTTTGCGTAACTTCTTTTACTGGTTGCAGATTATCCCCAGTCACAGTTAAGCATATGATAGACCCACTTTATCAACCACTACTAGATAAGTACCCTGGAATACAACAAACTCAACCGAAACTACCGTGTGTAACCAGCAACGTTACACATCACATCACGACTACAGGACCACCTGTATTCTCTAG